CTGCAATGTACTGTTTACTGTTGCCAATGGTAATGAAATATTTCCCCCCAAATTCCAGTCGTTCATTACTAGTGTATAGGACACCAGTTGTCTAGTAACCTTGTATCCTGCAGCTTTGCTCTTCTTGCTTATTTCCTTAAGTTTTTTCTTTTTTTAGAAGGTTCTTAGCCTAGTGGTTTTATTATTTTATTTTGGTACTGGAGATCGAACTCAGGACCTAGCACTTTCAAGGCAAACACGGAGCCACTGAGCTAAATCCCCAGCAACCTTAAATTTTTCTTGATCCTTTGGTATTTGGTATTTTTCTACAGGGACAGGCATGTCATCTGGGAACAGTTTTATTTCCCCTTTCCCTATCTGTATAGCTTTTATTTCCTCATTTTGTCGTACTGTATTAGCTTGGACTTTCAGTTTGATGTTAACTAGGAATGATATTGAAAGCATTCTTACCCTGTTCCTGATCTTAGTGGGAACATTCAGTTTCTCATTGTGTAGTATGATATTAACTGTAGGTTCTTTTTGAGTAGTTGTGGATGTTCTTTACCAAGTTAAAGTTCTTGCTTCCTAGCTAGCATTTTCTTTTTTGGAAATCATGAATGGGTGTTAGGTTTTGTCAAATGCTTTTTCTTTTTTGGTCCCAGGGATCGAACTCGGGACCTTGTGCTTTTGAGGCAGGTGGCCAAACCACTGAGCTAACTCCGCAGCCCTCAAATGCTTTCTCTGTATCAGTTGATATAATCATGACTTCTTTTTTTTTTATTATTTTTTTATTTTTATTTTTTTAATATTTTTTTGAGACAGGATCTCACTATGTAGTTCAGAGACTACTCTGGAACTCATTATATATCCCAGGCTGGTCTTGAATTTGCAGTGATCCTCCTGCCTCAGCTTTCTGAGTGCTGGGATTACAGGCATGCACCACCATGCCCAGCCCATGACTTTTCTTTAGCCTGTTGATGTGATGCATTTTAACTTCTTTTTTAGTTGAGCCATCTTTGTGTGCTTGGAGCCAGCCCCCCTTGCTCATGGTATATAATTCATCTTCCTCATTGTCAGATTCTGTTCAACAATATCTTGTTGAGGATTTTATTTTGCAAGGGAAATAGTGGTTTCTAGTCTGCTTTGTTTAACTCTGATTTTCCTGTTATGGCAGTGCTGGCAACATGATTACACAGTGGTTACTCTTCTAGCACAGAGCTGACAATGATCAAATTTGACTATTCACGGTGGCAACCTGGTGGGACCCTTGGTGTTAAGACCAGCCAAGTGTTGGGGTGCACACCTGTAATCCCAGGACTCTGGGAGACTGAGGCAGGAGGATTTCAAGTTTGAGCCCAGCCTAGGCCACTTAGACCATACCTGAAAATAAAAAAAGGGCTGGGGATGTGGCTTAGTGCAAAGGCCCTAGGTTCAGTGCCCAATACCACAACCTATGCAGGTTTGGGGTTCCTTGAAGGCAGTGGCTGGCAGGAGTTTCTTACTCTTGTGCTAGTCCATGCTAAGCCCCAGCACTTGGTCAGAGCCAACATTCAGGCATCCTGTGGTTGATGACTAACACCCAGGAAGCAAAGCCTGGCTAGGGTTTTCTGGATTCTCCCTAGTGCCTCTAGACTTCGGGATGTGGATTGGCCTGTGACCTCAATTATCTGAAGTGTTGAAAAGTCTGTGATGTTCAGTCTAGTTGTCTCTCTCCCCTCCCTCTCCCCACCTCTTTGTAGTTCAGGCTGGACTTGAATTCACTGTGTAGTCCAAGATGGCTTGGAACTCACGGCAATCCTCCTGCCTCAGCCTCCCGACGCAGGTGTGCACTAGCACACCTGGCTTGCTCAGCTTTTTCTTGCATGGATGGGAGGGAGGTTTCCAAGCCCTTTGCCTGCTGGAGCCAAAACTGGAAGTCATCTTGTGGCTGATTGCCCCCTCCCCCACAACTGAAGGGACATAAGACATCTGCCTGGGACATCTGGGATTTCTCAGAGAGAGAAATCCTCACCTCTCCAGTTGAGAATCACCACTCCGTATTGTACTACTCAGGGGCTGCACACTCTTGCTTCTTCCTCCTGTAGCTGTTGCCCAGGTTCCCTTAGGTTCTTCTCAGCAAAGCGGATGCAGGTTCTGAAGCAGGTCTCTCGGTTGGAAGTCTGAGTGTCTGTGTGTGGCGGGTGAGGGGACCCTTAGCTCCTGGCCAGTTTCTGTCAGCCTCTCTGTCACTAACCTTAGCATTGCTGGATAAACATGCTGTCTCACCAGCTTTTCACAAATAGGACTTTAAACCTCACCCCACCCTGTCCCTAATCACTGAGCCTCTCTATGTGGCCACTCCCATCTCTCAGTAGGTGGCAGCCCCTTTGTCCTTTTGAAGCCTTCTTATATTATTGGTCACCTGGAAGTTAGGAGTGGACCCAGGGGGAGGAGGAGAGGATTCCCAGTAGCCAAAGGAATAATTGCTTTAAACACCCACGTGTCCTTTCTTCCTCCTTCTAAGGAAGGTCATTGGATGGGGTGGACCAAGGGCTTGGCAGGGGCTGGGTCCATGGGCAGTGGGTGCCTACTCAGGGTGAGGAGGGCATGTGGTTCGAGACAGGAGGGTCTATTGGGTAGGTAAATAATGTGAGCAGTGGAGTCTGACTTTCTCAGTGTTGTGGAGGAAGGGAGTTGCAAACGTGTAAAAGACCAAGGTGGTAGTGGATTGCACTTGGAGGTGCTTGTGCCAACTCAGTTTTTCTATATACAGATTTTATATGAGAATACAAATAGATGTAATGTGTTAAATATATGTATGCATGTGTTTAAAAATAGGAACATGCATACATATAGACATATTCCCTAGCTCCTTCCACTGAGTTAGTGGTGAGCATGCCTGACCCAGATGTTAGCTTCTAAATACCATTCTTCATTGAAGAGTAAAGAGTTCCCTGGAAAAATCGCTGATTCTAGAGCCAGAGCAGGGAAAGTCCAAGATGAAGTTGAAATTTTGTTTGTTTGGGTTTTTTGAGGCAGGGCTTCACTATGTAGTTTGAGCTGCCTTTGAACTCATCATGGAGCCAGGCTGGCCTTGAGTGCGCAGCAATCCTCTTGCCTCAGCCTCCTGAGTACTGGGGTCACAAGCATTTGCCACCATGTCTGGCAAACTTGGCATATTTTCTTCTGCCAGAAGATATTAAGAATAGGGCCGGGGATTTGGCTCAGTGGTTCTGCCGCCTGCCCTGCAAGGGCCCAGGTTTGATCTCCAGCATCAAAAAAAAAAAAAAAAAAAAAAAAAAAAAAGAAAAAAAAAAAGAAAGGATA